CTGTTGCAGAGACATGGCTCTGGGTGTCAGAGTTGAGCTAGTATAATCCCCACCCCCACCTGCTAGCAGCTGAGAGCTGACTGGGTGCAGGATGTGGGCTTGGAGAGTGATTCTGTGCTAGCTCGACTCTGTGACAGCCCAGAGGTAGGGCCTGCTGTGCATCTGGCCAGAGCAGCTGAGTACAACAGAGCTCCAGCATGGAACCCTGCAATGGGGGACTAGCAGGGGCCTGCAAAGGAGCCTGGGATGCCAGTAGACAGCAATGTAACATGAACTGATGGGGGATCTGATACAGAAATGCAATAGACTGGTCTAGCATTAACTGATTAAGTTTGATACCACATCGATCCAGATTTACCTTACACAAGGTTTCACCATTTTGAAACCAGTCTAAGTGCCCCAAACTTCTGTTCTGTTACAGGTGTAGACCAGTTTCCAATCGCTTATACCAGTTTCTATGTTATGTCTGTACCTGGCCTAAGAAGTCAGTTATCTTGCATTGTAGAATATTAGATTGGTCTGACATGATCTTTAAAATCAAATTACATTTTAGCTCATCATCTGTTTAATTCCATCTCCTTAATTATTCTTTCTTTTAGTATCTGTCCTCAGGCCTTGCATAATATTGAAGTCAGAATAATGGACCTGTAGTGGCAACTTTTTGTCTCTGGTTTCAAACCAGACATTATGACTGCTTGCAGGTGTTAAGAAATAAATAAATAAGATAGTGCTTTAGTTTAAACTCTGCACGCCCTCATGTCAAGCTAGGCGCACTCCCAGAAGAGCAGCCAGTCTTCTTCCCTTCCCTTCTCCAAAGAACATTTCCCCAGTGCCTTGGTAGGTATTGGCTCAGGATTTACCTTAACGTACCAGTGTGTTGTGGGTCACAGAGAATCCTTCCCACTTCCCATGATACACACGTGCAGGAGTGAAGCAGAATTGTGACGCTTATGCTTTCTGAGGCATATTAGGTCCCATAGTATGAGATATTCCACAGTGGGCTTCATTTGTTAAGGCCTGTGTGTATCCTGCCGTATTCCACTACTAAGACTTACACACACTGTGCCTAGGAAAACTGTGAAATCTTCTGCATCTGTCTACCTATTTCTGTACCCAAAGACAGAATGCCTTCAGGTGCTGGTGAGATTTCAAATCTCTCTCATCCCAACCACCAAGGCTTAGGCAATACATGATTCTATATTTGAATGGGCTAAAACCTTTGTCTTGCCCAGGATATAGCAATCATATGTTAAAAACCACAGTCTAGCTTCCATGAAAACCATCACTGCATTAGACACTAATTGGGATGCTCCTAGCAATGTCAGTAGACAGGCGAGCTTTTGACTGAGAATGGAAACCAAATAAGCCTCCAGGAGAAGAATTATGCACACTGAGCAGGCTATTTGATGGCATGAAGAATCTCGTACTGTCACAGGCCATCCTGTACCTCTTGTACAGATAAAAAGAAGGCTTCAAATTCCAAGACTATAAACTAATCCCTGACCCCAGCACAATATAAAATTAGGGGGAAAATGTTCCAGTGTTGTAAAAAGCTAATTTATGCATGTATAACTATAAAACCTATGCTTTCTCAATATCAGAATCATTAATCACAATTGTAATAGCACCTGGGAGCCCTAATCAGAGACTAATACTCTACTGATCTAGGCACTGCACAAACACAAAATATGTACATTGTTTTCTTTATAAGAAAAATCAGTATATTTTGTAATAGCCTGACAAAAGGTATAACTAGGACTTGGTTTAAATTGCAGGTCCAGCTTGCTAATATCATGACCTGATCATGGCAGGGTCTGCCATTTTTGTGCCCAGATCATGGCACCTCCTTTCCCCCCCGCATACTCCTGATTGGCTGAGGGGGCAGGTTTAGGACCAGATTTATTTGCAGCAGAAGATGTCTTGCTCCCAAGGCCTCTGATTGTTTCTGAAAAGCCCATGCCTCCCACACACACATGCCCACCTCCCTGGAAGAGGCAAGAACAGCAGTAGCAGCTGTCTGCCCTGTGTTGTTTCTGACAGGCAGGGAGGAAATTCCCTTGTCAAAAATGCACAGAGCTCATCTTCATCACTGCTGATAAACTGATGCTGAGCTCAGGGTCAGATTCATTGCCAATTGGCCAGCAGCCCATCAGAGCAGAGTGGCCTTTTTGAAAAGGGAATTCCCTCCCTGCTGGTCAGAAACAACGTGGGACAGACAGCCGCTACTGTTATTCCTGCCTCTTCCCATGAGGCAAGGGGGGTCCATGGGCTTTTCAGCAGCAATCAGAAGCCTTGGGAGCAAGGCTTCTGCCTGCAATTAACCCCGGCCCTTGGCCATGTGCTCCCAAGCCAGGCTAGCCCAATCACAGCCCCCGCATGGGGAGCCAGGCTTAGGCCTGCCCTGACCCTCCAGCCCCAGCCCTGGCTCTAAGGGCACTGCGCTCCCCAGTCCATACTGACAGCTGCCTTCACCCTGCCCTGCCACACACACATACACTCTGCCAGAAAATGGGTGCAAGGGGTTGGGGACACTTGGGGGATGCCTTGGCAGATGGCAGCAGAAGATACCAGGTAGGGTAGGCTGTTTGCTCCTGTGGGCAGGAAAACTGGGGAGCTAGGAGTGCCCAGGGAGCTGGGGGTGCCTGGGATCTGCCTTGGCAAATGGCCCTGGCACCAGGTAGGGGAGGGGCTGTTTGGTCCTCTGTGCATGTGTTCTCTCCCCCACCCCCAAACCCCTGCACCCATTTTCCTATCTGGAGAACCAAACAGCCCCCCTCCTACCTGGTGGCAGGGTCATCTGCCAAAGCAGCCCCCAGGTGCCCCCAACCCTCCATGCCCGTTTTCCTACCTGGAAGAGCAAACATACCCCCCACCCCCCCGCATCCCCATGCTCTCTCCCCCAACCTTGTCCTTTTTGCAACCCTCCCCCACCACCCTGGGGGTTCCTAGGCTTTTTCTGCTGGCTGAGAAATGCTTTCCCCAACCTACAGCAGCCATCTTGTTTCAACAAAATGTCCTGATATGGCCACTTGCTGGGGAACAAGCATGTCCTTGCAAATAACATGTTTTCATGAAAACAACTTAATTTCATGATTTTCATGAAAAATACAAAATTGCAATTTAAACCAGGCCCTAGCTATAACCCTATGTAGACAACTCATTCTTGAGGATGATTACTTCTCCTATAGGGATCAACACAACAAGTGAGGCCACTGCCAATCAGAAGAACTGGTTTGAGTCTGCTCTGCAAGGAAAAAAGCAGGATTTGTGGTACAGATGGGATGTTCAGCTCCAGATGATAATTATTCAGGATTCACAAGACTCCCTGTGGCAGCACAGAAGGAGACAGAGGGGAGGAAGCAATGAAGCGGGGGAGGGAGGGTATTTTTTGCACTCATTTTGTGCTGGTTAATTTAACAGAGATTAGCATTCCAGAGATTCAGCAATCAAAATCCTGACATACAAACTTTGCTCACCATAGCTTTATAAACTCTACTTTCTTTCCTCTATGTACAGATTCATCAAGGATCGTGTCATCTCCATGTAAATATTGTAAAGCTGGTATTTTGCCAAGCAGTCTAACTGGAACATAATAAACTGATTCTATATGTGGCTGAGGATATATAGGTCAAAAGGCAGAGATTTCAGAGTGCAAAAGAGAAAAAAGAGAGAGAGCACAAACAGTCAAACACAGGGCACTGATTTATAAGTAAAACCATTCTGAAAAGTAGAGTATGAAACTAAGAGTCCCTCTAGGTCATGTGCTGAGCAATATACATTTCACGACAGAACTCCAAAAATGAAACTTATCTTGTCAGCAGTGATGTACAAATCCTCTTTCGTTCATCTCTTATTTTATGTTTCCTCATGTATCTTCTGTACAGTGCTTCTTTTACACAGCTGACAGATGTACCATTTCATAGATTTTATAGACATTAGAGCTGGAAGAGACCTTGCAAAACCATCAGGTTCTGCCCCCTGCCTAAGGGGCATAAAGTCAGCTGTGGTCAAAGGATCCCTACAAGATAGACATCCAAGTGCTTCTTGAAAGTGTCTAGAGTAGGTGCTTGCACCACCTCTGAGGGGAGTCTATTCCAGGCCCTGGGGACTCAGGCAATAAAGAAGTTTTTCCTTATGTCCAGCCTAAAACAGTCTTCCAGGAGTTTGGGACCGTTGGACATTGTCTTTCCTTGGGGTGCCCGGGTGAACAGACGTTCTCCCAGTTCCTGATGCACACTTCTCATGTACTTATAGGCTGCAACCAAGTCACCCCTGAGCTTACGCTTTTCCAGGCTGAAGAGTCCCATGGCTTTTAGCCTTTTATCATAAGGCCTGCTTTCTAGTCCTCTAATCATGCACGTGGCTCTCCTCTGGACCCTCTCAAGCTTCTTCACATCCTTTCTGAATTGCAGAGCCCAGACTTGGATGCAGTACTCCAGCTGTGGCCTCACCAAAGGCAAGTAAAGGAGAATGACTTCCTGGGTCTCGCTTGCGATGCATTGTTTGCTTTGCTGGCTACAGCATTGCATTGGTGGCTAATGTTCATCTTGTGGTCAATCATGACATCCAAGTCTCTTTCAGTCATGGTGCTAGCGAGCATAGCACTGCTGAGCCTATAAATGTGATATGGGTTATTTTCTCCCGAGGTGGAGCACCTTGCATTTCTCCATGTTTAACACCATCAGGTTTCTTTCTCTCACTCTTACTACATCATTATATTTATCAAAAACACTGAGAGAAAAATACCAAAGTATTAAAAAAGACCAGAGATCCAGAAAGATTTATGGTTGTAACAATATTTTCCCCATTAGATGTTAATGCTTGTGTTTTAAAGAAAGTGTTTCAAAATTTTTCATATGCTTATATCACCACTCAGATATTTATTGGCCTACATTGCAGAGAGAGATCTACTCACTGGATCAGGAGGTACCAGTGAATCATACAGACATCGTGTTTGCAATCAGTGACAAAAGGCAGTATTCTCCAGAATCGGTTGCTGGTTGATTTATTTTAATGACAAATATAGGGTCACATTCCTGTTTCTTTATTCCTGTCTATGTTGGTGTGGTCTGCTTAGCATACAGGGAACTTCCAACTGATGTGCTATGGGAGAACAGCTGACACATTCTTAGCTCCCTGGGAACTCAGCAATTGAAAGCCCCTCAATTATGGTCTAAAACATTTCACTATTACGATAATATTCCCAGGTGTTTACAGTCATTGGGTATATTCCCCATTCACCCAGGACCAAAAACTCCTTCCCTGAAAGACTACTCTTGTTCATAGCTGATGTAGAGCCTGAGACAAGTCTAGCCACAGGAGTCAGTTGGTAGAAGTTATATGGTACTGTTTATTGTAATATTTTGGATAAAACAGGAATTTGATGTTGCACAGACAGTAACATGGTCATTGTCAACACTGCAGGACTGAATTAAATGAACTAAGGCTTACAAAGGCAACTTCTATTCCCAGCCTCTCCCACTCTCCAAAAAAAATCACCCATCTCCCATGTACACGTCCTAAGACCTTCTCTTCAGAAAGTTACAAGGCTGGAAGCTAAAGACATAGACACTACTTTTACTGGTAATGAGGGAGGCCAGATGTATGCAGAGAGGTTGGGTGTCTTCCCAGCTGATTACTTAACATCAGCCTCAGTAAACCCAATTTCCTCAAGCATAGGCTGAGGTTCATAAACTCATCAGACTTTAAACCCTGCTCTTAATTAACACATTTAGAAGTTACTTCCATTCCTTCCACTCACTAATTTTTCTGATTTATTACAAAAAGGTAAAAGGTCTTTTCTCCCATTACCAATTACCTGAGCTATTCAGTACCCTTTAATGAAACCTTCCATGACTAAATTTGTTTCTAGACTTTCAGGTCTCCACTTTTTTTTACTTAAAATATTTGTCAAACAAGGAGCAATTTTCTACTTATGAAGGAGTCAGCTAATTAGTATGGTACCCTGTCATTCTGTCACACAGGCTTGACAAACAATATAGCAGATTAAGGAGTTGCTAATTGGCTGATAGTGTTAGCAGCAATTTCACAGTGCTAATGTACCAAGAAAACATTAAAAAGTTGCTCTGATCAGACTATGGAAAAATTACACAAAATGAGTTTTGAAAGAATAGTCAGTATGTTACAGTAATGCTATGTGATGTGGAAACATATACATTATCACTTGGAAAGGACTGAAGGTGACTGAAAGCTGAGCATGACAGTTTCAAAACCAAGAGAGAGAAAAAAGATATGAAAACAGGGATACAATCTACATGAAATAAGAATAAATGACATATGAGAAGATAATTTGAAGCTGTTTGCATAAGAATAACTTAAACTCCCTCAAACAAACATCCCACTGGTTTCAATGGCAGAGAGTTAACGTAATGCTGACACTTTTGTAAAACCCACTTTTAATGTGTAATTTCATTGTCTTAAAAATAAATGTAATGAATCTTGTGTTTTATAGACACAAAGACAAAGGATAAAGTGAGGCTGAAGTATAGAAAGAGTCTAGTAGACCTTGGAAAATCCTATCCATCTACTCAGTGGTCATCCTGATATTGTTGTCCCATAAGGCCTTTGAGATCTGTTGGATTAAGGAAATAGCTTGTCTCATCCCAGCCGCCAGTGGTTTGCCCAAGATGTAGTTATAGAAAGCAATGCACTTTAAGATATAGGGTGCTTACTAGCACTATTTTTCAGTCTTCTCATGTCATGTCACCATGTTCAAATGTGGGTCTAGTAACAGGCACCTACTATTGCTCAATCTGTAGCTTTAGCAAGGTCCTTGTTGATACTTCATTCTCTTATATGTGAGCATCAGGAGTTCTGTAGTCTGAAAGTTTCCTCCATATTCAAACATGGTGTTGGTGTATCCCCATAGTTGCATGTTAACTTTTGTCTTACTGACCCCTGTTCGGATGTGGTTCAAGCTTCTCCATATTGACCAACTGAGCTCTGCACCTGCAGGGAAATGCTCAGCAGTTTTGATATTCATTCTAACTCCCTCCTGGGTCAATGAACTGCCACATTTATTCATGTGTCTGTTGGTGTTTTATCCAGTGGCTGTATTTTAGAAAGGAAACTTTTCCATGATTTTAAACTGGGAGTCACAATGTGACTACATAGTGGGTGCCTCTTGTCTTTGATCAGTTGGATATGTTCTCTTTTATTTGCTGCTTCTCTCCTGGTGTCTGATGCAGAGATTCTGGCAAGAAGATGGAGACTATTGATATTCATTGGTTTAAAGCATCCAGTAATCCAACTTTCAGTCAGCACAGGGTCTAGCTTCTTTGCATGTGTCAATCTCTTCTAAACTGGGCATCCATACCTTTAAAGAAAAGACAAGGAAGTTTGCTATTAAATCTTTATATGGTACAGATAACAGTTTCAACCTTAAAGGTAAATATTACAGCTTTAAAATATTTTACATTAGAATGATACAGTATTCAGTATATTAAATGTCATGTTTTATACTGCATGATATACATGCTCTAAATTTTTTTTTAAATGTATGCATCCAAAACCTTTAAAATTACAGGAAGACACTATAGTTATAGGAAATACTTAGCCTTTCTTCCCTCAGTGCTCTAGATGAACTCTGAAAACATCTGTGAAGAGACCCTGAATGTCTAAGAGAAGGAATCAAAGTAAGTCCTAGAGTCTCTACTGATATAAATTAATTTAATCAAAATATTAAGGGATGTGAATAGGAAATACCTTAATTTTCAGTACACCAATGTTGGGAATTTTTGTTAAGAAGAAGAATATCAATTAATCATTTATGAGTCTAAATTATATCAAATTGTTATTACTGAATATTAGGAAAAATGTAATTATTGGACTGGTAAAATCAATGGTTGCCACCTAGCCTGTTTAGGAAGGATCCTATCATCAAGGGAGATGAACAGCAAATAGGTAGAGCCCTTTTCTCCCTAGCACCACCTGGGGTGACGAGGAACCATGGTAATAAGCTGATGGAGAATAGGTTTAGGTTAGAGATCAGAAGGCAATATTTTACAGTTAGGGTGGCCAAAATCTGGAACCAACTTCCCAGGGAAGTGGTCCTCGCCCCTACCTTGGGCAACTTCAAGAGCAGGTTGGACGATCACCTGTCTGGGGTCTTGTGAACCCAGCATTCATTCCTGCCTGTGACAGGGGGTCAGGCTAGATTATCTGTTCAGGTCCCTCTTGACCCTAGCTACTATGAAACTACAGGCAAAAGGGGTAGGGAAGAAACAATCTCTGTCCAAAATGCCATTATTTGTTTCCAAATCACAAACAATTCGGAAGCAAATTACCTTGATTGTTTACAGATCAGTATTCTAAGAAATAAAGCATAAAATAAGGTACTGGTTTGTACATGCTGCAGATCACAAATCACAAAGGAAAACAGGATGATAGGCTGGTAAGTAGCTATCTATAATGTGTAGAAAAAGATGCTTTAAGATATGAGCTTTCAGTCTCCTTAGTATATACTGAAAACATTCAGAATTTCTAAAAGGTATAGATAATGATTGCCTCCATCACAGAAGAATTCTGTATTGGAATTCACATTGACAGATAAACAGGAATCAATTACAAAACTGAAAAAACTGTAGTTTTATGAGAGTTTTAGTATAACGTTCATGGTATATACATTTTATATGTAAACCATTTTGTATAGGTGAGAAAATAGATGGGATGTTAATAACAATTAGTATAAATCAGAAGCTGGGAATTTTAGAAGAATCAATAAGAGATATAGGTATTATGAAGAAAACTAATGGAATTAGGGATATAAATACTTCAGGTATCTTAAGAACACAATTAGTCCTTAGCAATGGAAGGAGTAGATGGACATAGTAGAAATGCCAGTAATAACAAAGAAAAGGGTGAAGTACCTAATACATATTACTATTTTCAGCTAGAAAATATGTGTGTGTCACATAATGATAAAATATTTTCCATGTCAAGAGTAACTAAGGAGGAAGTTAAATACCAGTTACTAAAGCTGGATATTTTTAAATAATCAGTTTTAGATAACGTTAAAACTGTAAAAGAGCTGGGCAATGAGCTCTCTGGATTTTTAATGTTGATCTTCAATTATGTCTGAAAGTATTCGTGGTTTTTCAAGATCTGAAAAGGATAAATGGGTAAATATAGACCAGATAGTGTTAGAGTGATGGTTGGGATAAAGTTAGGCAAGCTTTCATTAGGCCTGTGCAACTAGGGAACTATTTGATTCAGATTCAGCAGATTCAGATGCCAGAGATTCAATTTTGAAATCCGAATTGTTTTTCCAATTTGATTCAGCGGAATCGCTTAGGAAGATTCGGAGCCAATTCGGAGATTCGGCCATAGAGTATAATGGGGAATCAATGAAATATCTATAACTTGGTTTTCTTTTGTCTGATTCAGATGACACAGGTAGATATGGTAGCCACTGCTGAGAGCATGGCATGTACCAAGTTTCAAGGTGATAGGTGCAGGGGTTTCTGGGAAACTGTACCTCAAATTCTGAAAGAAAAACTCATGTCACTTGTGTGTGTTAAGCCACAGTGGGGTAAAAACTGCCAGGTTGGTATCTCTTTCTGAGTCCACACATCCTGCCCAGTTTCAAGGAGATAGGTGCAGGGGTTTCTGGGAAACTGCACCTGAAACTGCTGACAGGCAAAGCTCATGACAGAGGTGACACTGTATGTGTTTTAAGGCACAGGAGGGTGGAAACTACAGGAATGATAGCCCCTGCTGCAGCCACAAAGCCTGCCAGGTTTCAAGGAGTTAGATGCAGGGGTTTGGGGGAAACTGTACCTCAAGTTGCAGACAAGCAAAACATGTGACATGGGTGACTGTGTGTTAAGGCACAGCAGGGTGAAAGCTGCAGGCATGCTAGCCCCTGCTGAGGCCACAAAGTCTGCCAGCTTTCAAGGAGATAGGTGCAGGGGCTTCTGGGTTCTGGGGCCCTGCATCTCTAGCTGCTAGCAGGCACAACTCATGCAGTGGGTGCTTGTGCACAGACAAGAAAACTCATGCCATGGGTGACACTGCGTGTGTTAAAACGCAGCGGGGTGACAGCTTCAGGGGTGGTGGCCCTTGCTGCGGCCATGATGCCTGCCAGCAGAGATCAGTGCAGGGTGGTTCTGGGGCCCTGCACCCCTAGCTGCTGACAGACAAAACTTGTGACATGGGTGCTTGTGCAACTGACTGTCTCTGTCTTGCGGTAGAAGCAGTTCCCGGCTCTGTATTGATTCTGTCCTCTCCTTAGTCTGTGGTTTTGTAAGTGTTAATCCTTGCTCATTAACTCATTATCCACACTAGCTACTGTGTATTGAGCTGGTCCCTGAGTGAATCAATACAGAGCCAGGAACTGCTTCTGAAACACCCTGCCACAGGAGCATCAGGGAGAAAACAAAAAAAGCAAACTTACCCAGAGAGGCAGGAGAAACCATGGTGAGCCCAGGCAGGAAAAACACTGTCTCTCAAACAATTAAATAAATCAGCTGGGGCCACAGCAGATCAAAGGCTGCCATGGCAAACCCAGCTGCTGGGGTTTGAGCCCAGGAAAAGGAAAGTGGTACAGCCAAGGAGAGAGAAAAAAAATGTGCCAAAGAGAAAAAGAGGAAACAGCTAGGTCAGGCAAGCAGCAAATGGGAGGCTGCCACAGCAGACCCAGCTGGACAAAAGGAAGATTTAAGGGACACCAAGAGGGCATTCAGGAGTTGGATGGAGAGAGGGGGAGACGAGGAGAGGAAAAGACGACAGGTGAAAAGAGAGAGGAAGAGAACCAACCCCGGAGCTTGAGGTCCCCCAACTTACCTGGGGAGAGCCAGCCAAAAATTTGCCCAGACAGGGAGAACCAGCTCAGGAGTGGAGGAAGCTGTGCGGCCAGTGACTCCAGTCCCAGGGAGTGAAGGTAATCACTCCAGGAACCTAGAAGAAAATGAGGATATGGACGATATTACTCTCCAGGAATGAGCGAGTCTGTCCTGGCCCTGAAGGTAAGGGTGGGGTTAGAAGTAAGGAATAGCTGTCTTGGGACCTCTGCAGGGAAGAACGGGGCAAGCAGCCAAACTAAGAGGAAGACTCTGGTCAGGGGTCCCTAAGACCACGACCAGAGCACCAGCGTCAGGGGCTAGTAACAACATGCCCAGAACATCTGGTGTGTTTAGGGCAGGGGATGGGGATGGTGGAGCCCTGTGAAGAACAGCCAACAACTTGAGCCTATAAAAAAACCCTTTGTCTCCCAAGAGCGTTTTGTCATCTATTTCCCATAACATCAAAAGGCATGGCAGACAATTTTCCAAAGGATAAAACACTACCATCTCAACTGGGAGATGACGTGGCTTTAGGTGGCACACCATCAACCTCCTACACATACATCTAGAAACAATGAATGTAAGACATACTTTAAAAAGTACTAACTGAACTAATAGTGTAGCAAAACCCACAGTTTTTCTTTATTTTAATTTATTTTAAAATGCATTCCCTCCCCTTCCCCAACTATTTCTGACTTTTTCTCTCCCTCTCAGACTTAGGATAAGCTTTAACATTTTTATTTTGGTAGCAAGTTTTTGGTTGTGGATATCCACTGTTTTATATTGTATTATTATTAGGTTTGTATTGATTCTTACTGTTGTATATTGTCTTATTATCATTTTGTATTGATTTTTATTGTTTCGTATGGATATTGTATGGTTTAGGCCTGTGTTTGTAAGTGAACCAAAGTCATGTCAAGTTTCCATTTTATATGTCAAGCCTCCATCTTGTGTCCTCTGCCTGGGCATCCCACGTTGCAACAATATGAGTCATTGTACCCCTCCCATGTAAATTGATTCCCAGATGAATGAGAATGATTGGGAATGATTGAAATACAATGGTAGCAGGCCTCTTCTGAATGGCCTGTAATGACTGGGCCATCACCTCACATTGATTCATCCAGGAACCATGGACCTCACCCAGGAACAGAGACAAGAACCCAGCATTTAAAAGACAAAAGACCCTGCAGAACGAGCAATTCGACCATTGTACCTCACCATTACAGACACCTGAAACTGCACATCCCTGCATGACCCCTGCCTGGACATGCCTCCTGTCACTAGGGTCACACAAGGTCTGCCCCTATAAGAAGGGGCGGTGAAGACAGACCCAGTGAAACGCCCTCTCCATCTGGACCAGCACCATGCCACACCACCTATCCACCCAGAGGCCCTGCCAGCGACCCCCCCTCTGTACAACACCTACTGGACAAGGACCCCTTTCCAGCCTGGATAGGTAGATATTACCTGCACACCTCCTCCTACAATTTGGACTCTCTCTGTCTCTCTTCCTGGACTTCAGTACACTTCAGCCCCTGCACCGAGCCTCTCTAATGCCTGCTGCCATTGTGTGTGTGTGTGTGTGTGTGTGTGTGTGTGTGTGTGTGTGTGTGTGTGTGTGTGGGTGCG